AATGATGTAATTTTCTGTTCCTTGTGCTTACAGTGGAGACATAACAGAAAATTATCCTACCATATTAGAAAACATTTTGGCAGTTCCTTAAAATGTTAAACATAGAGTTACCATAGACTCTGCAATTCCATTCCTAGTTACGTGCCCAAGAGAAATTAAAACATATTCACACAGTAACCTATACATAAATATCCATAGGATCATTATTCATAATAGTAAACAAAGCTGAAAAACTCAAATGCCTCTCAAATTATGAATGGAGAAACAAAATATGTATCCATACAATACAATACAATATTACTTGGCAATAAGAAGTCATGAAATACTGACACATGCTAAAACATGGATGAACATTAAAAATATTATGTTAAGAGAAATCAGCCAATCACAAAAGGTCACATAGTATATTATTTCATTTACATGAAATGGCCAGAATAGGAAATGAAAGTTGATTAGTGGTTGCCAGGAGCTTGGGGAGGGGGATGGGGGATGGGGATATCTGCTAATGGGTATGGGTTTCTTTTTGTAGTGATAAACATGTTCTGAAGTTAGTAGTGGTAATGGTTAGAACTGTGGCTACACTAAAAATCTACTGAATTCTATACTTTAAAAGGGTGAATTTCATAATAAGTGAAATATAGCTCAATAAATTGTCACTTTTTTAATGGAAATTTAAGGGCAAAAGAATGAAAAATTTTAAAGGTCATTTGTAACTGTTTGCTTTGTGGTATTGATATTTTTATCCTGGGTATTTACTTACATTGATGCTCTTAACTGGGATTTTTGGCCAGGTGAAAGGAGATATGGAGGTAAGATTGGAGAGGGTAAACAAAAATCCTACATTAATTTCCTGGCTTTGAATTGGAAGTTTCAGTTTGAGTTATTGAAAAAATGTCCTAGTGCTGTCTTAAAGTGTTTTAAAGGCCTAGAAAAGACTTTAATGATCAACTCAGTAACAGTGGACACCCTTAGCATTTGTGGGGTTTTTTTCAGTACCATTTTCACATTTCCATAAAGTGAACCATGACTTGCTGAAGAAAAGATGGATGCCAGGTGTGGGGCAGGAAATATAAAAGTGAGTCTGGACCATTTTGTCATTGTAGGAAGTAAGGAAAGTGATCAAAATCCTGACTACAGGATTTTGTCAAAAAGTCTAAAGACTAACTGAAAGAGGATCCCACTGGCTGATATTGAGCTAATTGGAGCATTATACTGATTGAAACACATCAAATATGTTAAAATTAATGAGTTTATGATACTAAGCAATCAGATTTCTTGGTTACATTTGGAGGTTACAGGGGAACCAACTAGTGTAATAAATCTACTTACCCATTACCCAGTAGTTATTATATAATGGTTGATTCTTGCCTCACCATACCATCACCTACTTCTCCATGGCTCATTTTTGAGCAAATCCTTGACATATCATTTCATCACTAAATTTTTCAGTGGATATCTAACTGAAAGTTAGACTGAAAGTTTAACACAAAGACTTTTTAACCTAACTCAATACCATTGTTAAGCCTAAAAACAATTAACAGTAATTTCTTAATACTATTAATTATCCAGTCACTATTCAAATTTGTATTTTGAAAACTAATAATTAATGGGAAACAGTCAAGATTTTATTCTGCACTTTGATATATGAACTATATCCCAAGGTAACCAAATAGTTGAGGAGATGCTTCTTTTTGTAGAACTATTACAGTTAGTAAGTAAAGAAAGAAGGATTGTAAATTACCAGGGAATCCCAAGAAGGATTGTAATATTGCCATTTTGCAACTGCACATGAATTAGTTCACCTAGGCAACGATCATCATTTCCGAATAAGATAAAAAGACATTCGGATGTTAAATGCCTCCTGCTGGAAGTACACAACATCACTTATGAAGTTTTCTTGCCAAAAAAATCAAACTTGAATCTGATCAAGACTCTAGATCTAACTATCAGTTAACAGGAAATAAAAAGGACAGAGTAACATGTTAACACCACAAGAATGCAGATGGTAAATTCAAGCCTGTGGGAATCTACAGGACATGACCCAGTTTCTTCAACCACAGAAAATTGCAAGAGGAAAGAACATGTGTAAGGGGAACATAGATCAAAAGAAGTCTAAAAGACTTCTCAACCAATCAAAATGATTGTACCTTATTTGCATCTTAATTCCAGCAAACTGAAGACAAAAGAGGACACCTGGAAAAATTTGAACACTGACTAAGGTACTTTGATAATATTAAGGAGTTATTGTTTGTTGTTTTTAGGTTTAATAATGATATTGAGGTTGAATTAAAAAAACTTTGTTTTTAGTAATATATACTGACATTCTTCATGATGAAATGATAAATGATATCAGGGATTGCTCAGAAAGATCTGGGCCATGATGGTGGTACACATGAGATAAGAATTACCCATTAGTTGCTAAGTATTGGAAGCTGAGTAATGAGTGTTCATTATACCAGCCATTCTTAAAGTGTGGTTGCTGGACCAGAAGCTTTAACACCACCTGTGAACTTGTTAGAATGCAAGTACTTTGGCCTCACCCTAGATCTACTAAATCAGAGACTGGGGTGGAGCCCAGCAATTTATTTTAACAATCCCTCTTCAGTTCAGTTCAGTTGCTCAGTTGTGTCTGACTCTTAGCAACCCTTGGACTCTAGGTAATTCTATAATAATACACACTAAAGTTTGAGAACCTCTGCTTTATGTAACTCTTCCTAATATACTTTATTTGAAATTCTAATAAGATGTTTCAAAGAAAAAGCTTGATGAACATAAGAAAATACATTCATATATAAGAAAGAGAAGCTAGTTTAGAGGATAAAGCGAAGATCATGTAATTTTCTCAAGCGTTAGCAAATGAATTGTCATGGTATTAATAGTGAGCCAGCGGCTAATGATAGTCTTAAAGGAAATCACGAGTTTTGCTTTTCTTTTAGAATAGTGTCTCTACATTAAAATCACCTAGAGAACTTTTAAGAACATATCCAGGCCCCACCTCAAATTCTAGGTTTAGTTGGTTGCATTTCTGGGTTTTGGTTTTTTGGTTTTTTTTTTCCAAAAAGCTTCTCAGATAATTCTAATATACAACCAGAGTTCAGAACCAGTGTCCTAACTTTACAATGCTTAAGATTCTTGAAGTGCTCGTTAAAAGTTTCCTGAACAAACATAATGTCCATCGACATATGAATGGATAAAAAAGATGTGTGTGTATATATATATCAATGTGTGTGTGTGTATGTGTGTATACATATATATACATATATATATGTATACACACATACACAATGGAATACTACTCAGCCATAAAAATGAAGAAAATAATGCCATTTGCAGAAACATGGATGCAACTAGAGATTATTATACTAAGTGAAGTCAGTCAGGAAGGAAAGACAAATACTGTATGATATCATTTGTATGTGGAATCTAAAATACGGCACAAAGGAACATATCTACAAAACAGAAGCAGACACAGAGAACCAGCTTGTGGTTGCCAGAGGTGGGGAGCGGGGAGAGGGAAGAACCGGAAGTTTGGAGTTGACAGCTGCAAACTATTACATTTAGAATGGATGAACAACATGGTCCTACTGCATAGCACAGAGAACTATATTCAGTATGCCATGATAAACCATAATCAAAACAAATATTAAAAATAGAGTATACATATATAACTGAATCACTTTGCTGTACAGTAGAAATTAACACAACATTGCAAATCAACTATATTTTAAAGAATAGACTAATAACAACAAAAAGTTTCTTGGTCCTCCTCCCTTAGAGGCTCAGATTCAATAGGATGGTATAGCACATATAATTTGCATTTCTAACAAGATGACAGGTGATATAGATGGTGCTGGCTTGAGCACATTTTGAGTAATACCTACCTTCAAAGTAGGGATAGTTAGGTCAAAGACAGAGATAAGCATAAGTGAGAGGGATAATCTTCAGGGTTCTTGCTGCTAGCATCAGTAAATTACATCCAGGGAGACTGCCTCATTTCTTTCTCGTGGTTAGAAATGCAAATATGAACCCAGTGTTCCATGGCTTATTTGGAGAAGAAAAGAGACTTAGAGTTTTGAATCTCTTTAAAAGCACAAATGACAAGGGGAATGCAGCCAGTATTTTATAGAAATTTTAAATGGAATATAACATAAAAATTTTGAATCTCTATGTTGCACACCTGAAACTAAGGTTAGTAAGATTTTTCTGGGTGGTTGGTTTTTGTGTATTTTTAAAATCATAGTAAGATTGGAAGAACCGAAAGAAAGTATAAGTAAATTTAGCCAAATCGTCCTTTTAGTAAGTGTATATTTCATCTGAAGAATGAAAGAAAATGCATATAATATCATTTTTGTATAAGTTTTATTTCTTACTATCTTATTCACACACTGACATGTACAAGGGTTTTTTATCCAGTTGATGCTTATTGATTTTGCTAGATTGCTTTCTCAGACAGATTCTATAAAACGTCTTACTTACTTCACTGTGAATAAAAAAAAAAAGAAAAATCTGTTTACTTGTATTTTCATGGTTTAAGATATGTATTAGAGATGCTTCAGTCATATTGTGTGTTTAGTTTCAATATGACAATTACTTTAATATTGTAGTAAAATTTTAGGTGTAGGGCTTATAGAGACCCTTATGAATTAATAGTAAGATGTCTTTGTTTTTTTCCCTATGGGATGTTTATATTTACCCATTGAGTATTAACTGCTTAAAAGTGAATCAAACGATGTAAATCGAAATGGTGTGAGTGTTCTACAGTTCTTGAGAGATTTTATACCCTTATCACATGTATTCTAGTATGTACTTAGAAAAAAAATCATGTCTTTATCTTCCACTCAGTATACTATCATTTAATTAAGAAAAATATTCCTTAATAATTCTAGAATAAAGACATGTTCTTTTAAAAAATCATCTTACTATGTTAACATATGCCCAATTTAAAACTTCTTTAAAATATTTTAAAATAAATTGATTCTGTTATGTTCTTTCTTCCCCAGTGGTCATATGCTTTAGAAAAGCCCAACACTGGTAGCATATTTAATATTGCGTGGTCAATTGATGGTACCCAGATTGCTGGAGCCTGTGGAAATGGACATGTTGTTTTTGCACATGTGGTGGAACAACGCTGGGAGTGGAAGAATTTTCAAGTAACATTAACTAAAAGAAGGACCATGCAGGTATGATTATGTTTCATAGTTGATTAAATCTGCTTCCCCCGCCCCCCCACACACACATATTCAGTTTACAATACAGAATATGGAATTATCTTTGTTTATTATGGTATCATCGACTTGGTGGACATGAGTTTGAGCAAGCTCCAGGGGCTGGTGGTGAACAGGGAAGTCTGGTGTGCTGTAGTTCATGGGTCACAAAGAGTTGGACATGACTGAGTGACTGAACTGAACTGATTATATTTAAATTATGTTTGTTAAAATTCAGTCATATTAGAAAGATACTAACTATACCATTAGTGACTTTTTTATGACATAAAGTAAGAACCATTCACTGACATAGATTATGAGTGCCCACAGCTCCTGAAGTTATGGGGTTGAGGCAAGGATGAAATTGAGTTCCCCTAAACCTGAGTTTCTCTGCCAAGTTTATGATTAACCTCTCTATTCAAAACATTATTCCCTTTCTGTCCCCTACCTGTTCCCTTCAAGTTTGAGAGTTATCAAAGAAAAGGGGGGTTGAAACTGAGCAGGACCCTGAGGGGTCCTCCTTAGTACCAAAACCCGTATCTTTGAGTTGTTCTACAGAAACTAAGACACCCCCCCCCCACCCCCAAGCAGAGGATGGTGACTACACGCTTGCATTGTAGACCCCAGACTGGTTGGAAATCAGAAGGTTGAAATTCCAGAAACATCCCTCTATCACTTCACCATCTCTTATTGAGATTTAGGGAGAAAACCAGATACTTTTGGGGTAAAAATCTTTATAGATTAAGACAGAAAGGTTGAAATGTGGCCACTGGAGTTCGGGGGAAATGTTTTACAGATCAGAGAACATCGGTGGGAGGGGTTATTTAATCAGTTGTAAGCTTCTTAAGGGCATGGTACTATATTTCACTCATCTTTATCTCTCTATAGGGCCTAGCCCAGTGCCGCACCTGTAATAAGAGCTTGACAAATACTTTAAAAGTTAGTTGATGAAAGGTAGGAGGAGTGGCCAAAGATGATGTGTTGATGGCAAACCATCTGCCAAAGAAAAGGGAGCTTTACCTTCTCCCTTTTCTTTCTCCTGTCCTTATCAGTTGCCTCTATCTTTAGCATTCAGAATTTAGATGATTGTAATTACAATTTAGATGATTGAAAGTACTATAAAAATTTGAAAACATACCTTGTGATTTCTTGCCTGGATCTGTTCAAGTATTCTTTAGGCTAAGTATCCAGATTTTAAAATCTGGATAGTAGGGTCATTAGTGATAATAATTAGGTACCTTATACATTTTCCTTGTTCTACTTTCTTATTTAAAAAATTTTAAACTTATTATAGAGAATTTAAAACACACAAAGAGAGAATAGTATAATGAATCTCTCTGTACTTATTTCCCAGCCCCAACAGCCATCTGCCCATGATCAAGCCTGCCCCATCCGTGTCCATATCTACTTTTCCCCTGTCCCAATTATTTTGAAGAAAATTTAGATATCACTTCAGCTGCAAAAATTTCAGTATATACAACTAAAAGATAAGGACTCTTTTTTTTTTAACATACCCACAATACCATTCCTTAATTACTTAATACTTAAATACTAATTCCTTAATATTATCAAAGGAATATCCAAAAAATGTTCAAATTCAATTGTTTCCTCCATATCACATTTTTAAAGGTTTGTTTTTGTTTGAATTAGGATCCAAAATGGTTTACATGTTACAATTGGTTGATACATGTTTTAAGTATCTTTATATTTTCCTCTTGCGGTTTATCTGTTGAAGACACCAAATTAGTTTGTGTGTCTCCAGAGTCTGGACTTTTGCTGACAGTGTCCCCATGGTTTGGTTTGACATACTTCTCTGTCTTCTGTATTTCCTGTAAATGAGTAGCTAGATCTATTTGATAGTATAAATATATATTTTTGTTAGTTAGCCTGGGAACTAAGACGTTATTTGTAGTATTGTGTCTGTGATAAAGAATGCATTGTGAGCTCTAGGCAGCTGACCTGGGGACACAGTTTTATTCATATAGCACATGGGGGCTGGCTAACATAATATTGCCTTAATTTCAGAAACGCCCCAAGATGAGAATATATTTAAAAAGAGAAATTTTTCTTTCATAAAAAAAGAACCATCTTAGCATTAGAGGATTTTTACATCAGATAAGGTGAACAGTGAGGTTTTTAAATAGCTTATCTAAACTGAATTGTCTTTATACTTAAAATAATGTTTACAGATAATCTTTCAAAACGAGAACACTCTTTTTACTTTTGTAAAGGGACCTTACTCTCAATGACTGTAAGACATTTATTTTGCGTTTTTGCTAAGCTGGGTCTGTCTTTTCATAGGGTTTTTTTTTTTTTTTAACAACAGTTTCATTTACTTATTCGGTAACCTACGTGCAATGCCTTGAGTTAGGCGATGGGGGATACAGTTTTGAATAAGACAGATTTGGTTCCTGTTCTCATGAGACCTTCTGGATTAATATGTTGAAATTTTTCTTTTCATAAATTTACCTCAGATTGATTAAATGAAAGTAAAGAATAAAGAAACAAAAGAAATTTGTTGGTCCATGTGAAGTCAAGAGATAGACTGATGAGGTGGTATTGGATCCAGGGGCTTAAATAAGGTCAACTGGACTTTCATCACTTTCTCTTCCTGCAGTCTCCTTTTTTCTGTATTGGCTTCATTTGCACAAAGGCTGTCTCTCTGTTATGCCCATGGTAACTCTAGGCTTACATTCTACCAACTTCAAGCCCAACAGAAAGAGTGCTTTTCCCTCTAGCCCCCTAGTAATTTCAGCAGAAGTCTCAGCATTGGATTTCTTGTGCCAAGTCTGGGTCAGGTATATTTAGTTGAGAGTTGGAATGGAATCAACCCCATCAAAACCACTTAGTCACTTAGAATAATGGGTATGTTTCCCCAAAGAAAAACCAAGGCATAGTTACCAGAAAAGATAGCATTTGATTCTGGGCAGACAGAAACCAACAGCTATCCACTATAGTCTATCCTTTAGCTACTTAGCAACCGTAACTGTATTAGTTATTGATGACTGGCTAATAAATAAACTTAGTGGTTTAAAACAGCAATATTTATTATCTCTTAGTTTCTTTGGGTCAAGAATCCAGGCATGGCTTAGTAAATCTTCTGACACAGTTTCTCACAAGGCTGCAATTAAGGTGTTGGCCAGGGTTTTCAGTAGCACGTGAAGCGTCCTCAGCTGGAGAGGACTTGCTTCCAAGCGTACCGACATAGTTGTTGGCAGGCTTCCATTTTTCAAGGGCTGTTGAACTGAGGGCCTCAGTTTCTTGTTGGCAGTTGTCTGGAGGCCTCCCTCAGTTCCTTACATGTAGCCTCCACACTGGGCAGCTCACAACCTGGCAGCTTTGTGAGAGCAATTATGAAGGGCACAGAGCGTGTGAGTGAAACATAAGTCACAGTTCTTTATAACCTCAACTTAGAAGTGTCATCTCATCATTTTAGCCTTTTTTCTGACCATTAGAAGTGAGCTATGAGGTCTAATTCACACACAAGTGGAGAGACTTACATAAGGATGTGAATACCAGTAGGTGGAAATCACTAACCCCTTTACAGTCTACTCACAACACATATTAATGCTTACCCTTATTCATGTATACGTATAATTCAGAGATGCTCTACTTAACTAATGCAGCTATTCCTTTTGCTTTTGAAAACAAACCCATCCCCTCTCTAAAAGATGATAACCTAAACTCATCCAAGTCATTCCAGCTCTAACTCTTTGGTCTGGAAAACTAAATAAATATGAGTTTTAATTATTCTCCTCCTCCTCTCCATCTTCCCGATATATAATGGTGAAGGGAATACAGCTGGAATGAAAACAATTTGGAGAATGGGGGAAGGAAAAACAGCACACTGTGATTATGAGGTCCATAACAAAAGCCCAGCTGGCCAGGAATATCCTGAGAATTCTTTGTTTTAGCACTGAAGTTAGTTGCTTGGTTAATTTGGCAATTCTAGCTTGCCTTTTGGGGAAGATCTCCCACTTGGAAGGATTTCCTTTCTGGAGTCTACATTTTAACAGCCCACTTAATGTTGTTAAGATGGAGCCATAGATGGAGCAATAGGGACAATAGCCACAACTTTTTGTTTGCCTGGTTTAGAGTTTCACAGTTTCCTTAGAAGCTTTGTAGACTGTTGATTTGTGTTTCATTAACTCAGAAACCAGAGATCATGTTGAGCCCTAATTGTTAACTCTAGACCTTGACCTGAGAGTTGCTACCTGGTAATAGGTTTCATTGCCTTAAGACATTACCTGTCTCCCTGGACCTCAGCTTTTATGTGATACAATAACCAAGAGTGAGAAGGTTTCCTCATTTGTGCCTTGTCTTCAGGCTAAATTCTAGCAATATTTCTTTCCAAAAGGAGAGTTGATGTCTTTGCTGGGAGGAAGGGCCTAGAAGGGAAGAGGGTACGGGTGGAAGAGACGAGGCATTCCTCAGGTCTCAAGTTTCCCATTTGCTCTTTCCTGCCACTGTCACTTTAGCTTGGGGCTCAGATTTGGCTTCTACACAATTTGAATGTTGCCATAGTTCAGAATTATTTAATTCTTAGTCACTCTTATCTCCTGTAAAGATAAAAGTTAATGAGAGAGTGTTTTTGATGATTAAATGAGATCTTGTATGTAAAACAAAAATAAATGGTATCTATTGCTATGGCTATATTTAGGATTAAATATGTATTTGGAAATGTAGAAACAGAATTTTCAGACTTAGGTCAGTCTGAGGGGTCAAATATTGTGCTTAGGTGGAAGTATTAGGTGATAAAAGTATGAACACGTTAATTCTGAAGCTGCCCTGAATTGAACAGAGCAAATATGGGTACATTTAAAAATTCATCACAGGACATTTCTGATGTAGGATTCACCATTACTTTGAAATTATAACAGCAATCATCAATGTGCCTTTGTTTGTTATTATGGCCAAGATGTTTTATTGCTCTTCTAGTGTTCCAGATTCACAAAAAAGAGAATTACCCCATGTGAAGCTTTAGGCCAACGTGAATTTTAAGAAATCTGTCTGTAATTTGAATAATGACAGAAGCTCATACAATCAGATTTTTAAAATATTGAATTAATTGTCATAAACCTGTGTTAACAGCCAGTTTATTTCACTGGATATCATGTTGCTGTAAAGAAACCTCCATGTAACTTCCTTTAGAAACTTTTATTTCGTTCCATTAGCTTTCAAATGTTTCTAGGAAAGGATGGCATTTTGGACCTTTAAAAAAGTCTCTGGGAGCTCAGACTTCTGGTGAAAATGGTGTCATCAGTTGATACTTGGAAGGATAAGGCATACATTTGGCTCCAAGGAGATCAATAATTTATGAAATATATTTTAAAAAGAGATTTATCTGGATTCAAAAACAGGATAAACATTTCTGTGGGCCAGAAGTGGAATAAGAAAGCAGAGTGTGGAGTCAAGTCTCCAACCTGCTTGACTCCTGGTGCAGAAGCCGGGAGGCAGAAGCAGAGCCGAGAGGACTCCTGCAGACTAATGGAGCGGAGAGGACTCGGAGAGAGGCCAGGGGCCTGAGGCAGGTCTCTGTCTGAAATCAAAGCCTGGGTCCTGGGGGTAGCTCTCTCCTCCCCTTGCTGAGAGAGAAACCCAGAACATGCTAGGCTTTAAGGAGAGACCCACAGGGTCACTGGCTCCAGTCATGGCCCTCTTGGTTCTAGGGGGCCCGTCACTTGGACCTAGAGCTGTGCAGGACACAGCCTGCAGCACCTGCCTGTGGTCTTGCAGACAGAGCTCGGCCTTTTCACTGAAAGTACACTTCACATTTTTGTTCTAAGTGAAAACTGACCGACTCCAGAGACCAGTGTTTCTCCCTCAGCCTTCGCAAGTAGAAGCGTTTTTCTTCTTTATGCCAGGAATTACTCAGTCTGGGGGTCATATAGGTGTCTCCTAACCCCTCCTTGCTGAACCCAGACCATAGTAGCTGCTTCTTTCTTAAAGGATTCCAGCTCCTTTGAAGCACCTGCCGTCAGACTGCTACTCCCTTTTCAGTCGTTTCCCACATTCATCAAAGAGTGGAGCAAATGTTATCAGAGTCTTTTTCTTTCTTTTTATTAAGACTTAAAAAATCTCAAGGATAAGGACTGTTTTTATTTTAACATAATCATAGTCAATATTTCACATTTCTCTAGTTGTCTCCTAAGTCTTTCCCATTTCTTCAACTGTTTTCTAATACTTCTATGGTTGGTTGGTTTGTATTAGGAAACAAAGTCCCACGTTACATTTAGTTTATTTTGTATTAGGAAACAAAGTCCCACATTACATTTAGTTCATTTTTCTCTTCAATCTTTTAAAATCTGGAACAATTCCTCTTCATTTATTTGTTTGTTTGTTTAAGAAACCAAGTCATTTGTTCTTTTGGATTTCCCGCATTCTTCTGTTTGCATCGTAGTGGTTTGATTACATGTAACATTTTTATTTAGCTTCTGTATTTCCTGTATACTCGTGATTAGATTTAGAGACTTGGTAGATATATAAAGAATACTTTGTACGTGATGCTGTGTACTTCCTGTTGCCTCGAGACACATATGTCTTCTTATCTCTTAACTATGATGAGATTGATCAGTGTGTTCAGGTGTTATAAGTCTGATTCACCTGTCATATAGTTTCCCATTAGGTTTTTACTTTAATATTTTTAGCAGTCAAGAATGGTATTTATTTAGAACCGTGTCTTATCAGGAGTTGCATCTTGTGATTCTATCATTCCGTCTACTTTTGTTAGCTAAAATCCTTCTATAATAGACTTTGCCTAATCAACTATTTGTTACCCTGAAGTAAGACAAATTCTGATTTATTTTCCTTTATTTATCAGTTTTCAAATAATGAGTTCATTTCCTGGCATGCCTAAAGAGTTTCTTTGTTGTTGTTGATGATAATGTTATTATAAACTTGCAGATTTAAAAAATTTGGTATATTTCAATCCATTGCAGTTTAATGCTCCAGTGGTTCCATCTTTGCCCAGTTGACTCCTGTGTTCATTTGGGATGATTTCAATAGCTTGCTTCCTTTTCTGATAAGATGTTCTAGGTTTCTTATACATTTCCTGCTCCAAACTTAGAATCAGCCATTTTTTTAAGAAGGCTTTGTTCCTTTTGGAGGGGAATGCTACTTAGAGACCATGATCCAAGTTCTAGGTATGCTCATTGCTATTGGTTTGATCATTACTCCTAGATAAAATGTACTTTTTAACCGATAAAAATATATCATGAGTATGTACTGTTTCAAGTTCAAATTCAAGATTATGGCGTTTTACTCCTGATTTGTTTTATTTGCAGTTCTTTTCTCTTACAAGAAAATTTTGGTTCCTAAAGACATTAATGTATTCTAGCATATATCCTAAAATATAATTTAAAATAATAATCTCAATATTATTGCTGAATATTGTTTTACATTTTTTGTTTTTTTAATATGAATAAATCTATATATCTTCATAGCCTTCTCTTTATCAGATAAAAAGTATCATACTATACATACTTTTTTGCATCTTGCACTTTTTATTTTACAATGTATTGTGGAGATCACTCCATAGATATTACTCAGTCCTTTTTAGAGCTATGTGTTATTCTACTCTGTGAATGTAGTTTATTCAGTCTATCCCTTATTGATACACATTTGGGTTGTTGCCAGTCTTTTGCTAATACCAGTAGTGATGTATGTAGTAAGAGTCTATTTGTATGTTATTTCATAATTTTGCCTGTTTATTTTGGTATAGAATTCTAGAAGTAAGATTGCTAGGTCAAGGATTATATGTGTATATAATTTTGCTATCTCTTGACATGGTGATGACTGATAGGGATAGGAGTTAGGGAATAGGTAATAAAAATATATGCCTTATAGACATAAGTACTTTGAGGAAGTACTTGTAAGAAGTTTGACTTTATCTTCCTATTTTTTCTTTCCATAACCTTTTATTCTTCATTAATACTATAATTGTCATAACAATTTAGAAAGATGATAATATTTTGATGGAAATTTAGAGAAGTATTAACTTCTAGGTATAATTAATCTCTCTCAATTTTTTACCTCTTTATTTAATATCTTCTGCTGTTAACCAGAGATTTCATAAATTTGTCTTGACCAATGTATTTTTTAATTTGTTGTAGATTATCTATCAATTTCAAAATTTTTGGCTGGTATTTCCAAACTTTAAAATCCTTGTAAACTTTATTCAGTTAACAAACTTTTATAACAGTTTTGACTATCATGGGTGCATCTCTCTTTGTTAGTTGGTGCTTAGTTTTCTTATATGTTATCTCTATGTTTTTACATGTGGAAACATTTTCCACCCCTCTTTGTAGCTTGGCTTCTTCACTATGCAGTCAGTTTCTTTACTAACACCTCCTACTCCACTTTTGATTTTTGAAGTTATTATATCTCTTTCTTAGAAACTTAAATTTTAAAGTAAAACCTAGCCCTAGAAAGAGATATTCCTACTGTTTTGAGCAGAAATCATGTGATCTCTTTTCAGCTCCTAGAAGCCATACTCCTTTGACTATATACCTCGCTGTTCTAACACTGCACCACTGCTGCCTCATACAGGTTGGCTTTCAGATTAGAAATCTCTATAGATCATTTTCTACTGATTTCTCACTTTTCTGTATCTGTACTTTTGTTGGTCAATTTTTATACCCAAATATGTCATCTTATGCCTGGTTCCTATTGAATTCTTCTTTCTATGGTTAGATAATCAAGAATGCCTTTTAATTTTTTTTTCTTTTTTGGTGCATTCCAGAATCTTGCTAACTTATCTAATTAAAAGTTTGATGTATTTTAATGTTGTTCGTTGGTATTTCATGTTTCCTTCTTTAGGTTCGTAACGTTCTTAATGATGCAGTGGATTTACTGGAATTCCGTGATCGAGTCATTAAAGCCTCTTTGAACTATGCACACTTAGTTGTTTCAACGTCTCTTCAGTGTTATGTGTTCTCGTAAGCATCTTGCATTTCTTTAAAATCTAGAGTTTTGTCTATGAAAAAAAAATTTATTTGCCAGCTGTCATATTAACATGGTTTGGCTTAAACTTAACTTTCTCAAAAATATCACCTATCTTGAACTTACTCCTAACTGAGAAGTGATAAAAAGTGAGCTATGAGCAGAGAAAATAGATATAATAGTTGTGCATCAAAGGTTAATAATCACTTTTGTAATACAAAATACCTTCTCTGGGATAATGCTTGCTCTTATTTTACTCATAACCCAAGGACTTTAGTATACGTTTATTTCAAAGCCCAGAGAAGTTTAGGAGCACCTGATAAGTGGTGTGAAAAGGAACCGCCTAACCACTGGCAGAGGACAGCTTACAGCCTGAGAGCAGGCTGAAAGGCATTCAGTAAGGACACAAGGAGGTGTTTAGGCCCAGGTAATCATGAATGTTCATACTGATAATCCAGAGTTGTCCAGAAATGATGAAAGAAAATATATTCAGTATACTTTGTGTTGGGCTTCCCTGGTGGGAAATTGCGAAATTACTGAAATTTAAGACATAATGTTTGAATCTGAAGGATTGATACTTGTATTAGAGCGGTTGCTTTTTAAAATATTTACCAAAGGTTTAGAAGCTGTTATTTAGTTTTTTTCTCACTCTACCTTTCTCATACTAGTTAATACATTATCAAAATATTAAATTGCTTTTCTTTTCTGAGTTAACATTGCTTCCCCTCTCTTGTTGGCAAGACATTCACTAAGGTACAAAATATTTATTAAAGTGGAATTCCAGTGAGCAGTAGTGGAAATGAAGTAGTGCTAAGAGCCATCATACCAAAGTATATTTCGTTAAATTATTGTAAAAATACCTGGTGTTTTAGATCATAACAACTGTTCTTTACTCAGCACTGTTATACTATCTTTTATGTTCATGATCTGATTTACTCTGTGTGTTGAATATTATTATTATTCCCATTTTACAAAATGAAGAGGCTGAAGGATGCAGAGGTAATTAAATATTAATAATACCCTGGGTCACACTACTTAACTTCTTTTCTAAAGAAAGAGCTGAGATTTGAATCCAAGTTCCTAATAACTGTTGTTCCTTTTTTAGTAATAAAAATATAATTTAAAAAATAAACCTGCAAACAATATACTGGTTTATATGGAAAGAAGTTCCAAAGAAAATCACATATGAGCATTCTATGTTAAATTTTCACTTAATTTCTCAAATAGTTGTATAGGAAATTCCCTTCCTCTGATCAACACTTAGTTTAGGGAGTTTATATCTCCATGACATGTGTGTATATCTTAGTTGTCAAGAATCTCAGATATTTTGTAAGGGGATGTGGGAAAAAACCCCTCATACTCACTGTTCTTTTTAGCTCTCTTGACAAAGAATGAAGGTTAATCCTAATGATTGCATAAATGAAGCATGTGTGATATTTTTTCTAAAGTACAAAAGTACATAGCTTTATCATACCTGTGAACTCCAGACTTGCTGATTATTAGTAACAGTTTATTCACTATTTGGCTTTATGCATGCATTTACTTACTGAAATGGGTATCAGGCTCTGCGTTAACCACGATTAATTTCCAGCAATGTGCCTGCTTACTGCAACTTTTCCCTTCCCCCATCTTCCAGATCTGCATATGAGATTTAAAGAATTAGATTCAAAGAATTAGTTCTATGAAAGTAATTGAGAGAAGTTTAGAAGTTTAGAATATATAGGAATAATAAAACATTTTAAACTATCGAGCAACTTTGATTATTTGAGGATGGGTTTTTCAGGTTGTAAATGTCCTTTCTACCCATCCCTATCTTTGAATCATATTACATCATGAAACTCATAGGAGTTATTTGTTCATTCATTTTATCCATTTGTTCAGTAAGCATAGTCATAGCTTACATGTATATAGAATTTTACAGTTTACAGAATGTTTCACAGAAATCTTCATTTGCTCAACACTTACACTGGGAGACTGATAGGAAAAGTGATCATGTTATTATTATTATAGTTTTTGTTCAGTATCTGCTACACAACAGGCAGTTAACTAGATACTTTAGGTAAGACATCATTATCACCATTTTACGAATAATGAAACTGTTGCTTAGGAGGTTAAGCTTATTAAGATCATAAGGCTGACAGGTAGTGAAACCAGATTTTTAATCCTGATCTGTCTAGCCAAAACCTCATCCTCTCAAGAGGGAGGGGACATATGTATACTTATGGCTGATTCATGTTGATGTATGGCAGACACCAGTACGATATTGTAAAGCAATTATCTCTCAATTAAAAATAAATAAATTAAAAAAAATGTTCATAGCATCACATTTAAAGAATCAAAATCTGAAATCAACCAAATGTCCATCAACATTAGAATAAACAACTGTGCCATATCCATGCAATAAAATATTACATAATAATGACCAAAAATACCCATCCTCTTTTCACTAAGCTATGCTGCTACTATTTTTCAAAAGAGAAACATTAGATGACTTGCTCAAGTCACAGAGCTAATAAATGACAGAACATGAACTTATGATTCCTCAGTTCACATGTTGTGGTTCCTAGAATAAACATTTATTAAGTACTTACTATGTGCTAGATGCTGGGGACACAGACTCCACTTTCTAGTCAGGTATACAGATGTGCAAATGAATAATTTCAGAACAATGTACCAAGTGCTATAATAGGATCATATACAGAGTTACTGTGAAACTAATGATGCTTTGTTTAAAATGAGTACCCACTACTTATTAAGTATTTTAAGTGTAAATAAGTATCCATTTTATTTGTCTTTCAGTACGAAGAACTGGAATACACCACTTATATTTGATCTCAAGGAAGGAACTGTTAGTTTAATTCTGCAAGCAGAACGGTAATTTATTTATCATGTTTCACTATTGAATTTGGGGATTAAAATGTTTAAAATTGCAGTAAAGTACTCTTTAAAGCATGCCATTTACAGGATGGTGTGTTCTGAAATCACTGGTACACCAGAATCAATCTGTTTCTTCTATTTATTTTAAAATAAAATAAAAAATAAGGGAATAAGCTCTTAGATCAGTAGTTCTAAAACTTTTTGGTCTCAGAATTTCTTTACATCCTTAAAGTTATTGAGGTCTATGTGTGGGTTATATATGTTGGCCTTTAATATGCTGGAAATCCTTCAAGCAAGGCTTCAACACTATGTGAACTGAGAACTTCCAGATGTATAACCTAGATTTAGACAAGGCAGAGGAACTAGAGATCAAATTGCCAACATCCATTGTATCATGGAAAAAGCAAGAGAAATCCAGAAAAACCTCTACTTCAGCTTCATTGACTATGCTAAAGCCTTTGACTGTGTGGAGTCCAACAAACTGTGGAAAATTCTTAAAGAGATGGGAATACTGGACCGTCGTAACTTGTTTCCTAAGAAACTTGTACGTGGAACAAGAAGCAACAGTTAGAACCAGACATGGAGCAACAGACTGGTTTAAAATTTGGGAAAGGAGTCCATCAAGCCTGTATATTGTCAACCTGCTTATTTAACTTATATTCAGAGTATTTCAAGCAAAATGCCAGACTGGATGAATCACAAGCTGGAATCAAGATTGCCAGGAGAAATATCAGCAACCTCAAATATGCAGATGGTACCACCCTAATGGCAGAAAGCAAAGAGGAACTGAAGAGCCTCTTGATGAAAGTAAAAGAGGAGGGTGTAAAACCTGGCTTAAATCTCAACATTCAAAAAACTAAGATCCTGACATCTGGTTCCATCACTTTTTGGCAAATAGATGGGAGGAAAAAATGGAAACAGTGGCAGATTTTATTTTCTTAGGCTCCAAAATCACTGCAGATGGTGACTACAACCATGAAATTAAAAGACTCCTGCTCCTTGGAAGGAAGACCATGACAAACCTAGACAATGTGTTAAAAAGCAAAGACATCACTTTGCTGACAAAGATCCATATAGTCAAAGCTATGGTTTTTTTCCGGTAGTCTTGTGCAGATGTGAGAGTTGGACCATAATGAAGGCTGAGTGCCAAAGAATTGACGCTTTTGAACTGTGGTGCCGGAGAAGACTCTTTAGAGTCCCTTGGACAGCAAGGAGATCAAACCAGTCAATCCCAAAGGAAATCAACCCTGAATATCCATTGGAAGGACTGATGCTAAAGCTGAAACTATTAATGCTTTGGCCTCCTAATGTGAAGAGTCAGCTCACTTGAAAAGACCTTGAAGCTGGGAAAGATTGAGGACAGAAGGAGGAGGGGCAACAGAGGATGGCATTACTGACTCAGTGGACCTGAATCTGAGCAGACTCAGGCAGACGGTGAAGGACAGGGAAGCCTGGCGTGCTGCAGTCCATGGGTCACAGAGAGTCAGACATGGCTTAGCAACTCATGGGGTCACAGAGAGTCAGACACAGCTTAGCAACTGAACAAGGACAAAATACTGGAAAGTAAAATTGAGAGATTTACAATATATCAATTATAAATGATAAGAATAAACTTATTACAAGTAAACATCAGAGTAATGAGAGATTGACAGTGAAACAGGCAAATTACTATAACATAGTTTTGACCTCATTGTTCCCATATTTTCTGTCTTATATTTGTTTTAAAATACTGGTTGAAATTCATTCATTTTATGAGGCACTACTAGGCTGTGATCTGGAGTTTGAAAAACAATATTCTCTATCAATACTTTGTGTATACAGGACTGAGAAACTCTGGGCCAGTTAACTGGAGTAAAGTAGTAATAGCTATTAGTCAGAACCCACATTTTTCCATGAAAATGATCAACCAATCTGTCACGTACAGTAGTACCCTACTAAATCAGAGGTCAGAGTTAGAAAGTTAAACTTGATAAAACCAGGAATAAAGCATGAAAATATAATCTACAATTACTTAAGATTGATGCCCATGAAATCTTTTCACTAAAACCATTTATTTTATTACTTCATTCCTTTACTCACCACTTAGGCAGCTCTTGAGAGTGTTATTATCAGGTTTTCTAGCCCATTTGTTGTTGTTTAGTTGCTAGATTGTGTCTGACTCTTTTGCTACCCTGATGCATCACAGCCTGCCAGGCTCCTCTGTCCATGGAATTTCCCAGGCAAGAATACTGGAGTGGATGGCCATTTCCTCCTCTGAGATATTTTCACAACCCAGGGATTGAACTTGTGTCTCCTGTATCTCTTGCACTGGCAGGCGGATTCATTACCACTGCACTCCCTGGGAGGCCCATAGCCTTCTACAGATAGCCAGATGCTGAATGCTGGTGGCTGTTAGAATCTGGCACAATGACAGGAAGAAAGTGACTGCTGGCAAGGAAGCATGGAGAAAAACGAATGGCACAGAGCCTTTTTTTTTTTTTAATTGAAGCACAACTTTATTCTGATTCTAAATGAAAAGGAGTGGGAATGACAGTAACAAACAAGATTCCACTTCTCAATATTGTCATGTGACTATAGCAGTCTTGTGTTAGAAACTCAAGGAGGAAACAACTGTGTTCCGAAACACCTAAATATGCAGGTCCAAAAAATGAAGGTATTTTTTCTAAACTGCCATATTCACTCAAAAGCCCATCTATCTCCTTCAGCATCCAAAGATTAAACACTTCTTAGCTATATAATAAAGTGGCAAACTCGCTGCATCACTGACATCACAGGACAGTTGCCTATAAAACTAGACTTCTGACGCTGGGCCCCAGCTTCACTTTGTCACAGGTCAGTCATCATCTTCATCCAGGAAAGCAGTTGTCTGAGCAGCCTCTAAATTGTGCCCTTGCTGTGCTGCCAAGACTGGGGCCATGACCACCTCTGGCAGGGCAAGAGCCGGCATGGCGACAAACTCCAAGTTAGGGTCTCTGGTCAGTTTTCTAGCAAACCAGAGGAAGAGCTTTTCAAAGTTGTAGATACTTTTGGCAGAAATGTCATAGAACTGAAGGTTCTTCTTTCAGTGGAAGACAGTTGACTTTGCCTTAACCTTTCTGTCCTTAGCATCCACTTGGTTGCCACACAGCACAGCTGGGGTGTTCTCACACACGCATACCAGATCTCTACGCCAGTTGGGCACATTCTTGTAACTCACTCTCGATGTTTCATCAAACATTACAACAGCACACTGAGCTTGTATATAGTAGTCATCCCTCAGTCCACCAAGCTTTTCCTGACCAGCCGGATCCCACACACTGAGCTTAATTGATCCTCTGTTGGTATGGAACACAAGAGGATGGACCTTAACACCCAAGGTAGCCACATACTTCTCAGATTCATCAGTCAGAACATTTCATGAATGTAATTTTTCCAGTACCACCATCACCAACCAAAACAAGTTTGAACTGAACTTGGGCTTCTCTTTGGGCAGCCATTTCAGTGTTATTTCCAGAAGTGTCTGTGCCCATCTGACTAAAGGCTGGAAAGATGGCAGAAGCATAGCACCAGCAGATTCTCCTAAGTATCAAAGCTATCAGTTGCACAGTTGCTGAAGAGTATGATCATCGTATTGATGATCCTGAGTGATCAAGAAAATAATTGTATCATATTGTCTACCAGCTGTTTAGTGATATTGAACCAGTGATTGATTGATTGATTGATTGATATTGTAAACTTTTCAAACAAAAAGACATCTTTGCCAGGTAAAAGGTAAGATGTCAGCTATCTAAAAAACCATATTTTTGAAATTCTCTTTTACTTGAATAGTTCCAAATAAATTTATTTCTTTATATAGTATTTATAAATGTATATTGAATATGCTGTTAGTAAAGTCATATGTTAATAGTGTAAATTATTAGATAATTAAAGAATATATATTTTTTAGAATATTTTATTTACTAACCATTGCTGGCCATATTTGTACATTAGAAATGTTTGCCCCTTGGAATAGTGTTTATTCACAGGAAGTTAAAGCTTTAGTGTGTTGTTTAGAAGAGAAAATGCTTTTATTACTGAGACAAAAAAAAGAATATATACTAGTATGATATGTCACTTGTCAACATTAGCAAATATTGTTTTCATACACTAATGTGTAAGGGCCAAATCCTTCAATTAAATAAGCCACACAGCAGTACTCAAGTATTCATTTAATTCAAGTGTACATTTTTGGTATTCATTGTATACTAACTTTTGTTTATCTTGATGTTTATTTCCTAATGGTTTCCAGAGCAAAAAGGAACAGTTAGCAATTCTTGAATCAAGAAATAGTTCTGGGGAATTCCCTGGCCATCCAGTGGTTAGGACGTGGCTCTTTCACTGCTGAGGGCCCGGGTTCAATTCCTAGTTGGAGAATTAAGATTCCATAAGCTGCGTGGTGTGATCAAAAAAAAAAAAAAAAAAATCTGAATTAAGGATATTAATAGCTTGAACATAAAGTTTTAAGAAGTAATAATATGTTCAGCTTTGAAGAAGCAGACTCTCTGATATAGCAATAGTATGAGTGTAAATCAATAGACCTTTTTTTTTTTTTTAGTTTTTATTATTTTTTCTTTCTTTCTTTATTTTTTTTTTTTATCACAACCATAGTGTATCTTTTTTTTTTTTTTTTAACATGTATTCCCCATCCCGGTCCCCCCTCCCACCTCCCTCTCCACCCAATCCCTCTGGGTCTTCCCAGTGCACCAGGCCCGAGCACTTGTCTCATGCACCCAACCTGGGCTGGTGAACTGTTTCACCCTAGATAATATACGTGTTTCAATGCTGTTCTCTTGAAACATCCCACCCTCGGAAACATCCCACCCTCGCCTTCTCCCAGAGTCCACAAGTCTGTTCTATACATAGGAGTCTCTTTTTCTGTTTTGCACATAGGGTTATCGTTACCATCTTTCTAAATTCCATATATATGTGTTAGTATACTGTAATGGTCTTTATCTTTCTGGCTTACTTCGCTCTGTATAATGGGCTCCAGTTTCATCCATCTCATTAGAACTGATTCAAATGAATTCTTTTTAATGGCTGAGTAATATTCCATGGTGTATATGTACCACAGCTTCCTCATCCATTCGTCTGCTGATGGGCATCTAGGTTGCTTCCATGTCCTGGCTATTATAAACAGTGCTTCGATGAACATTGGGGTACACGTGTCTCTTTCAGATCTGGTTTCCTCCGTGTAAAGGGGGGTTTAACAACATATGTTAAATTTTTAAAAGTATATGTCCTTTGATCCAAATATTGCATTTTTAGGATTTATACTAAGGAAATAAGCAATGTAAACATACAAAGATGTGTATATACCTCAGACATTCTTTAAGAGTGAATAATTTGAAATAAAATAAATGTCCATCAGGAAAGAGTTAATTAAGTTCTATCCATACTTTGCCACAAGTTATCTCTATGGAGGTAAGAAGATTGCAAGAGATCTTTTACTTTCTCTGTATTATTTGAATTGTTTTTTTGTATTCTTAAAATTTCAAAGGAAAAAATAGCAGCCATAAAATGTTTATATTTTGACTTAAAAAATAAACAACACAGATACTATGCCTTGAATAGAGCTGTCATCACAGCAAATGAACCCAACTACCTGATATTAAAAAAACAGATTTTTAGATATGAATACATTTCTTCATGGTTACTATATTATTTTAAAATCAAAGCTTCTTATTTTAATAAATGCTCACTGTGATGTGAATTTTTGAGTCATTTTCACTCTTTAGGACTCTGCCTAGTATTTAATCTAATTTAATACTATAATTTAATGACCCTTAGCATAATCTTTAATTGTAAAATATGTGTTAATACTGTTTCATAAAACAAATAGCATCTGTCATTAAAAGATTCACTGAATTGTAAATTACATGATTTTTATTGCTTTTGTATAGATATGCTTCTTTAGAAAAGGAAATGAATTATAATTATGATATTAAAGGGATCAAAACTTTATAGGGTGGTGATTATGGACATTTTCATTTTTCTTTTCCTACCTCCATCAGAAAATAAAAACCGAGGAAACAAATCAAAACAACCAAATGTTGACTTTTCAGGTTGTTTTTACACTTCATTTTTTATATATCTATGTTTTATTATTGTTTTAATTGTAAGATTTAGATATTTCCAAAGCATAAAATATTTTCTAAATGAAAAGGAAATTATAGTAAATCCTACTTGAGAATACATCTTTATTCTGTATTTTTTAGACATTTTCTTCTTGTAGATGGTGGTGGTATCTATTTATATTCTTATGAAGGGCGCTTCCTTTCCTCTCCAAAATTTCCTGGAATGAGAACAGATATTCTAAATGCACAGACTGTCTCTCTGAGTAATGATACCATAGCAATAAAAGACAAAGCTGATGAAAAAAGTAAGTGCATTTTTATAATTTTCAATGAAATTGATTAAAATTTTCATCAATTGATTTTCATTTTCTCATCTATTAATATGTTGACTTTATAAGGAAGAATGATGAGCTTTCTAATTTGTCCTAATCATGAATTAAAGAACTAAAGTTGTTGTATTATTTCCAGTTGATGGAACAAATAAATATTGTCACAACATCAAAGCTTAGTGGTGAGAAGGAAATCTATATATTTAGTAGCTGTTGGTATAGTTTTAATTCAAGACTGTGAGTCCTAAAAATGTATGTTAATTTTTAAGTTTATTGAAAGTATTTCCTTTTTCTTCATTTAGTAACATAGTAAATATTGTGCTTCATTGTACTATTTATTTTGCTTATATATATTCATGTATTTTTTATACTTACATATTTTTAAACTAAAGAAGTAGGAGAAGGTTACAAATAATTTTTGATTTTCATATAAAAATCTAGCCACATTAGTGTTTATAAATAAATTTAAGTATGTCAGGTGTTTTGGAATGTCACAGTATGAATAAAACTATTTTTTTAAGGCAATGCTGTATCATAGCATGTATCCAACAAATATATTGAGTGCTTCCTATGTGCCAAGTAGTGTTCTAGAAGTTGAGGATACAAAAGTGCAGAAAAAAAACAAAACAGGTAATCAAGCGAATATAGTCAACTAATGATACATGCTGTGAAGAAAATTAATGCAGGATAAGGGCATAGAGAGTTCTAGAGCTGGGGCAGGGCAGTGACTATAGGACAAGCAAATGCAAGGGTGGGAACAAGGCCTTAGGACTCAGTCAGCGTGAACTAAGCAGAGTGTGATGGGAGAAGACACAGTTAGGTAAGGAGTAGTCAGATCGTGTAAAGACTTGGCCATGGTAAAGATGCTGGCCTGAGAGCGTGAAGACAAGCACGTTATCCTAAAATTTTTCCTGGGTGAATGAAGGGTGGGGAACGAGGACGTTTTGAGTAGGTCACACAAACCCAGAGTTATGTTTTTGTCATGATAAGTTTGAATACTTTCTAGACGTCCAAGAGGGGTTGGAGAGGAAACAATGAAATAAAGGAATCTAGGGCTCAGAAGAGAGTTGGAGATGAGATAGGAATCTGGGAGTCATTGATGTGTAGATGGTGCCATGGCGCGATGAAGTCACCTAGAAAGTGATTATAGACAGAGAAGACCAGTGGCTGAGCACATCAGTATTTAGAGATGAGTAAGAGGAAAAAGAACTAATGAGCTAAGAGTGAGAGTGAGGCACCCTTGAAGCCTAGCGGTGAGATACAGAATAATTGTTTCTTCTCTGGTAATACATACTACTAAACATTATTCATTACTGTGACATGTTAAGAAAAGGTATGACCTGGCTGTTAATTTTGTTAGTTCATGGAACATCTAATTTTGGAGCTAGAAAACTGTCCCACTTTTAAATTTTCAGTACTTTCAGATAGCATCACCTCTCATTCTGGTAGGAAAGATAATTCTCCTAAACAGAGCTATTGCTCTCTCTCTTTATGCCTCGGGCTTTCTCTGAGAGGGGACATTTGGTAATTGTTTTGTTTTTAAAGGACTTCTTTCCTGTCTAAAGGAGGAAAGAGAATGAAATGAAATGAAATAAAGCAGAATCTAGACAGCACACATTTTTAAGATGGGAGTGTAATTGTTAATAATTTGGAAGTCAGATTTTTGTCTTCAGTGAACTTAAATTTGAAAATCCCAGAGATCACTATGAAGTTTCTATACTTTCCTTATTCAACATCACATATTTTAGATGGAAGCTATAATAAGGTGTGTATGTTTCCAACTGAATACCTTATTCTGAATTTTCCTATAGTTAATTCACATCTGAAACATATTTCATTATCATTTAAGCCGTTGATAATTTGTAGACTTTTAGAGCCAAAAAGAATTATGAACATTTTCAGAGTTATGGATTTACATGCAAATAAATTATGTTTTCCTTACATAAACTTTGTTGAATAAAATAATCATGTTATTCCATCCTGCCATAAACAGAAAATTTTAAAAACTAAAACTAAAATTATTGTAGAACTGATAGAAAAGTGAGAAGAAAAGTAGTTTTCTTATGTTTAAAGAAACTAGTAATTACTGAAGGCTAGATGGAGATATACACTAACAATAGAAAGCACAGTTGAAGTACCTGGAATCTTTAGCCTGTAAAACTTTTCTTTCAAGGGGACCATTCATGTATGAAATCAGTGGTTCCTTCCTGACTTGGGAGTTCCTTTACAGGCAGGATTCTTTGAACCAAGCCTCGTAGTGCTCAGTTAATGCATGTTAAGTGCATTTGATTATGATTAAGGAGTAGAGGTACATATGATTAAGGAGTAGGAGTATTGCTTTTGACTTGCTTCTCCTCCTCCACCTTGCATGGATTCACTATGATGTCATTGTGAGTGATTCTTTGAAACAAGCCTGGGTAGAGGAAGGCGAACTGGAGTAATTTGGGAGTTACTTAAAGAGAATCACTAAAGCACTGACAGTCTTCAAATAGCAAAAAATAGTGGGCAATATCTCTGTCACTTACGACACTAGGAGAAGCCTTTGATGAAACAGAAGGGGCAGAGGCAGCTTTTGTTCCTGGCTTCTTCAGTACACATCTCCAATAATTTTTACAGCTTGGCCTACTCAGAATGTTTGAGAAAGATGGGATTGGAAATAAAGAACTTTGAATTATCATTTTTTAGATAATGATTGATGTCATGAAAATAATCCAGGAAAGTATATAGCTGAATAGGTGGCCTAAAACAAAACCTAGGAACAGGGATCACCAAAGAAGGAAGAACTAGCAAAAAGAGAATAAGGGATGGTCCAAAATAGGAAAGAATCAGGAGAAAACAGTGTTTTTTGGTAGCTCACATAGGAGTTTCAAGAAAGAGGATGGTCAGGAGTATCCAGTGCTCCTGGGAGGTCAAGACTAAAAGTAGATTCTTGACTAAAAATAGACTCTCTGATTTGGCAGCATATGAGTCATTGATGGTCCAGGCAAGAGCCTTTGCATCAGTGTAGTGAAGTTGAACATCAAGTTGCTTAGTGGTCAAGAATCCGCCTGCTAATGCAGGAGACGCAGGAGACTCAGGTTCAGTACCTGAGTCAGGAAGATCCCCTGGAGGAGGAAATGGCAACCCACTCCAGTGTTCTTGCCTGAAAAATCCTGTGGACAGAGGAGTCTGGTGGGCTACAGTCCATAGGATTGCAAAGAGTCAGGCAAGACTGAGCACACAAAAAGCCATTTCAGGGAATTGAAAGTCCAAACTCTATAATCATATGCTTGGTCTTTCTGGTGACCCTATAGCTATCCTGAAGCTATCTAGGGAATCACCCAGAGTCTCTCTATTAGCATAACAAAGACATTCCTGTGACTCAGTCTTGGAAGAGACAAAGACCACACAGATTATCACACAGTAGTGTACTGACCACAGGGAACTCCTCACTACATAATTTCCTGGTAGTATAGTAGGCACTCAATGTATTTTTCCTTTGTGAAATGATTGTCTGGGTTGTTATGTTGGTCTAAATCAGAGTTTTGAAAATTATAAACTACATCTAGATTTGGACTTACCATTTTTGATCCTGTGGTACATTGATTCCATACCATTAATAATAATTCTAATTAGGGAATGTATATTTTAGGAAGACGAGTTTGGTTCCACTGAGAAATATGACCTTATTACTAACTAGGAATTTGATGCTGCTGCTCTGCGGTGCTGATAGGTATGCTATGGTCCAAAGAGTTAAATAATTTCTCATTGGGATTGTGATAGCTCCATAGAAATTTGCCAGTAAAAATTCTAATAATAATGTGGTAATTAATTATGGTAATATGCTAGTTAATATGGTAATGTAATTAATGCTTTACTTTTTTTCAAGTAATCTTCCTCTTTGAGGCATCAACTGGAAAACCAATGGGAGACGGGAAGTTTCTTTCTCATAAGGTGATGGATATTAGCTATTTTTAATGTAAATAGTTATTTACTTCTTTTCAAAATTAATGTTTTCAGACTTCCCTGGTAGTCCAGTGGTTAAGACTTTGCACGTCCATTGCAGGGAGCATGTATCTGATCCTTAATTGGCGAAGTTCCATGTGCTCCATGGTGAGGCCAGAAAATAAAAATTAAAAACAAAACACTGAGAGCAAAATTAATGTTTTCATTTTAAGGAGGAAAACATGGAGGTTAGTTTTATATTTAAAACCAGTGTGCATTCTATACAGAGTATTTTGCCTAAAAATGTCCTAAAGACTAAGCACTATTAAATTCTGTAATGGAAAGCTATATATATGTAAATTAATTGAATGAACGAAATCTGACGTATGTTTTTGTTCAAGCTCTTTACTCCTTTTTAAAAAATTATTATTTGTTTTATTTATTTTTGACTGTGCTCATTCTTCATTGATGTACACGGGCTTTCTCCAGTTAAGACACATGGACTTCAGTAATTGCAGTGCATGGGCTCAGTAGTTGTGAGTTAGTTTCCCCACAGCATGTGGAGTCTTAGTTTCTGGACCAGGGATTGAATTCATGTCCCCTGCATTGGCAGGTGGATTTTTAACCACTGGACCACCAAGAAGTCCCTCTTTACTGCTTTTCAATAGAATATTCTATCTTGATTAAACTTTTAGCACATATAATATCAGTAAATAAAAATGTGTTTATACATCAATACAGCTTACACTTTTCCCATTGACCTGTTCTAACCCTTTTTTTTTTTAGGTTTTAAGACTGTAGTTAAACTGAAAAAAAAAAAATCTGAAACTGGAGAAAAATTTCCTGAATTGCGAGCTGTTTATTAGTTTCTGACTTTTAGCTTTAGAACAAACAAATGGCACCATTCCATTGAGTTATCCTCCAATAAGTGATATGTTAGGGTTTAAAGATGTTTTTAACTTTATTGTTTAGTGCTACTAGTGAAGTGTTACCCTATATTTTATTTTCTTCTTTTTGTAATTATTAGTTGAATAACAAATACATTCAGTGGTTCAGAAATGGAAAAGCAGTCAGTGAAAAACTACTCCTGCTGCACCTGTCGGTATAGTTCCTTTCCACTGAATAAATAGCCATCATTATTAATCTCCTTTTATCCTTCCAGAGGTTTTTAGTGCATACATGGACAAAATGGGTATATGTTCCTTTCTCTTTCTTTTACAAAAAGATAACATAAGTTTGTACTTTGCTTTTCTCATGCAACATTCTATTTCTGGAAATTTTTCCATATCAATAGATAAAAGTGCTTTTGCAGTCCTTCTTCCTGCCATAAGTATAACATTTTATGGATGTATCAAAATTTGTTTAACTTGTGCCCAAATGATGGACAGAAATGGAAGTGTATTTCAGCTTATAGTTTCAAAGATTACATTATTTTATGGTGTTCTAATGGGCATTTTTCCCTTGTAAATTAAAAAACAAGTAATTATACTTTTAACTTTTGAATTATTTGTATATTAGCAGTTAAGTTATTTAGCAGGGACATTTTACCATTATAAGTAGGTAAATGATATTTAATTGATCTTTAAATAAACATATGTTCTTGTAAGTAAACAATTAAAATAATCTGATGTAAGTACCGAAACTAATCCAGAATTTTCATTCTTTAAAAATTTTAGAATGAAGTTTTGGAAATTGCTCTGGATCAAAAGGGACTCACCAATGATAGAAAAATTGCTTTCATTGATAAAAATAGAGATCTCTATATCACTTCAGTGAAACGATTTGGGAAGGAAGAACAGATTATCAAACTTGGTAAAATAATTGTAATACATATAAATTTTTTATTATTTTCAGTATTCTTAGATCTACTCTTTATATTATACTAAATAGCTTACTTGCTTGAATGAATCTGTGAATAATGCTTTGGTCTCCTAACATTTCTTAGCTATTTAATTCCATTTTGATAGCAAATCTTTAGCTGCTGCAACTAACTTGGCATTGAAAAAAAGACATGCAGATTGAAAATATAATGGTTCTGGGTAAAATGTTCAAATGTTTCCATAAATTTTTATGTGAATGTTTACACATGTTTTCACCATCAGAAAATACTCATACCTACCAGCAGTTAGTTGGGGTCTTATACATCAGCTGATTTTAAAGATATGTTTTTAATAGTTACATAATGGAACTAATACATTAACATTACATTAACATTCTTTTTAAAATAAGGAACAATGGTGCATACTTTGGCGTGGAATGATACGTGCAATATCCTTTGTGGACTTCAAGATACTCGATTTACAGTCTGGTATTACCCCAATACGGTTTATGTGGACAGAGACATTTTGCCTAAAACATTATATGAAAGGGATGCAAGGTAACATTTTACTGTGTGGGATTGTTTATTGTCATTAGTAAAACTAACAGAGTGTTGTATTCTTGCTTCTAATTTCATTCCTACAAAATAATCTTTTATGTTATTTAGTCAACTAAATAAATTATTCCGCTAAAACTAATTTAATGATATTTAAGTGATAGAATCAAGTTGAAAATATTGTATTGATGTAATACTATTTATTTATATGTTTCTTAAATGAATATAATTTTTTCTTATATGATTTTCAGGTTTACTGTTGTTTAATGGTAACTCAGGTAGTTTTTTCAGTGTGGTTTAATTATTTTATTTTAAGCAGTCAATATTTTTCTGTGATATACAATTTTATGACAGCCTTTACTCTTTCCCATTTTATCATTGACCTTGAGACTCTCAGGAATGTATGTCTCTCGAGAATTGAATTTTAAAATTGATATTAAATATAGAAAAAATACATAAAGTTACTAAAAAGTTTTTTTTTTTTAATTGTACATTCTTCAGAAAATCAAATGCATTTATATTCCTAAATTCTCTAAGAAATAGCAGGGAGATCTCTTATTCTTGGCAAACTAGGAATACAAAGGCTTCTCAACGCCAAATGTTAGTTTGACTTTCAAATCTATTTTGAGTTCATTTTTAATATTCAAGCTCATGTTAGCAAAACCAGAGAGGCATCATATAAAAAAATTAACTAATGAAGAGAAGTTAGTCTCTTTACTTAAAGTTCACCTCCTGTTATTATGAGAAAATAAGCTTGGAATCAACTTTTTAATGTTTGTACTTTCAAAAGCTGAAGCTAAGTGCTTTAATCATTTGTGTGATTTACCTTAATTCTTAGGAAAAAAGATCATTTCAAATGCTTTTAGGCATAATTGTCAATATGTAATAACTTTTGTCATGTTAAAATGTTTGTATAGTTTGCTCTAAGTGTACATAGCAAATTCGATTCCAATATTTATTTGAAGATATACATTCTCCCTGGAATTAACTTTCTTGGGATGCATTTTGGAGATTGTAGATTTCATATGTATGTTGGGGTCAACTCCCAAATTTAAATTGTATGAAATTTTTTGCTCAGAATATAAATTTCACTTTGCCTTTTTTCAACAGTGAATTTAGTAAAAACCCCCATATTGTGAGTTTTGTTGGAAATCAAGTAACTATAAGAAGAGCTGATGGCTCTCTGGTTCACATCAGCATATCACCATATCCTGCTATTCTCCATGAATATGTAAGCAGTTCAAAATGGGAAGATGCTGTAAGACTTTGTCGTTTTGTTAAGGTACTTTACATTTCAGACCCACAGTTGTATATATATTGTGTATTAGTTTATACAATATCTTTTCGCAAGATGAGAAATAATAAGAGCTAAGGGTTGGAAAAATTGTAAACAAGATCATATTTTTTTTTAATAAGTGATGTCATGAGTGATACAGAGAGATAGATGTTGCTGTGTGATTTATTTGAAGAAGTGAGTAGTTTCTTCTTGCTGGTACATATAAAAACATTTCATGAAACTTTTTTTAAAAGTCACATTCCCAGGTTCTATCCCCAAGGTCTAATTTATTAAATCTAGTGAGCCTGGGTGTATTTTTAAGTTCCTCAGATGATTTGTATAGCTAAGGTTAAGAACCATTCAGTACTTTAGATCAGCATTTTCCAACCTAGTTGAATTAAGTATTTTCTAAGCATGTTTGACCACAGAACTCTTTTATTTTACATTATTTAATTCTCTTAGAATACACTTTTGTAAAAGGACTTTTAGGTGGTTTTCCTTACAATGGGTTATTGGTGACAGTCTGCTCTCACAGCATTGTCTGAAAACCTCACTTTTTCTCTGGTTCCCTGCAGTTGCATTCTTTGACATCTCTTCAAAAAGACTAGAGGGCTTATAACTATGAGTTATCATTAATGTGTATCATAAGTTCAAAAGTAAACCTTTTTTAATTAGAAATGAACATTTCACAAAAAATGTATTCAAAACTTTCCCTATGTGTTATAACAACATAGCCACAGTGAAATTTCCACATCATTAATTTATGAAATTACTATTTTTTTCAGTGCCAAGCTCAGCAATCTTTTATTTTACATTAAAATATAACCTTAAAATATAACTTTGTTATATTTTAATTCACTGTTTATTTTAAGGCAGTTCAGCCATGTAGTTGAAATAATTGTTCTCATATTTCACTTTAGGAGCAAACCATGTGGGCTTGCCTAGCTGCTATGGCAGTTGCTAATCGAGATATGACTACTGCAGAAATAGCCTACGCAGCAATTGGTGAAGTAAATAGTGTTTACTTATGTTTATGTGTTTGTGTGTGTATGTGTGTTTTTAACTGTAATTTGTTACTATATACTTCAAATATTTTTCTTTCATTTTTAGATTGATAAAGTTCAGTATATCAATTCTATAAAAAATCTTCCATCTAAAGAATCAAAAATGGCCCACATATTAATGTTTAGTGGGAACATACAGGAGGCTGAAACTGTTCTTCTTCAGGCTGGCCTTGTTTATCAAGCAATTCAGATCAATATTAATCTGTACAACTGGGAAAGGTAATAAAACCATTTTTCATCAATTCCAAAACCTGACTGATATTAATGTATTCTTCTATCTACCACTTAGTAAATTACATTTTCCATTGTACTTAAGAGTTTCCTGATATCATATAAAAATTTATTTACATTTATATTTGTGAGTCAGTTCAGTTGCTCACTTGTGTCCGACTATTTGCGACCCCATGGACTGCAGCATGCCAGGCTTCCCTGTCCATCACCAACTCCCGGAACTTGCTTAAACTCATGTCCATTGAGTCGGTGATAACATCCAACCATCTCATCCTCTGTCATCCCCTTCTCCCACCTTCAGTCTTTCCCAGCATTAGGGTCTTTCAAATGAGCTGGTTCTTCACATCAGGTCGCTGAAGTACTGGAGTTTCAGCTTCAGCATCAGTCTCTCCAATGAATATTCAGGACTGATTTCCTTTAGGATGGACTGGTTGGATCTCCTTGCAGTCCAAGGGACTCTCAAGAGTCTTCTCCAACACCACAGTTCAAAAGCATCAATTCTTTGGCACTCAACTTTCTTTATGGTTCAACTCTCACATTCATACATGACTACTGGAAAAACCATAGCTTTGACTAGACAGACCTTTGTCAGCAAAGTAATGTCTCTGCTTTTTAATATGCTGTCTAGGTTGGTCATAACTTTTCTCCCAAGGAGCAAGTGTCTTTTAATTTCATGGTTGCAGTTGCCATCTGCAGTGATTTTGGAGCCCAAGAAAATACAGTCTGTCACTGTTTCCATTGTTTCCCCATCTGTTTGCCATGAAGTGATGGGACCAGATGCCATGATCTTAGTTTTCTAAATGTTGAGTTTTAAGCCAGCTTTTTCACTGTCCTCTTTTACTTTCATCAAGAGGCTCTTCAGTTCTTCCCTTTCTGCCATAAGAGTGGTATCATCTGCATATCTGTGGTTATTGATATTTCTCCCAGGAATCTTGATTCCAGCTTTTGCTTCATCCAGCCTGGCATTTGCATGATGTACTCTGAATATAGGTTAAATAAGCAGGGTGATAATGTACAGCTTTGATGTGCTCCTTTCCCAATTTGGAACCAGTCCATTGTTCTATGTCTGGTTCTGTTGCTTCTTGAACCAGAACTGTTCAAGAATTGTTGCTTCTTGACCTGAATACAGATTTCTCAGGAGGCAGGTATGGTGGTCTGGTACTCCCATCTCTTGAAGAATTTTCCACAGTTTGTTGTGATCCACACAGTCAAAGGCTTTGGCATAGTCAGTAAAGTAGAAGTAGATGTTTTTCTGGAACTCTCTTGTTTTTTCAGTGATCCAACAGATGTTGGCAATTTGATCTCTGCTTCCTCTGCCTTTTCTAAATCCAGCTTGAACATATTTGTGAGTAGCCTGCCATTAAAGATTTTTGCCATTTCTGACTCATGATTAATTAGATGTTATCTGTGAAGAAAAAAAGGGAGTCTAAGATGGCTCCAGAATTTCTGGTTTTAGTAACTGGATAGATAGTGGTAAGAATATTAGCAGGTTTGGAAGGAATGTTGAATTTGAAATATTTGTTTAGAGATATGTGATAATAGTTGATTATTAGACGTGAAGCTCAGGAAAGATTTTAAATAGAGATGTAGATTAAGAGTCATAAGCAAACGGATGGTAGTCGAAGCCAGAAGGATGGATGCAATTGCCTGGGGCTTGTGTGGAGTGAGAACACATCAACTCTATTTGCGGGATGGGTGAAAGTAGAGAAATTCACTGAAAGATTGGGATAAAGCAATTAGGCAGGCGGAGAGAGGATCCAGGAAAGATTTGTTAAGCTAAGGAAGACAAATGAAAGGATTTATATCAAGGAACCATCAGTAACCTTCCCTGCCAGCTTAGGAGTTGGGATAGGTTGCTTTCTGAGACTGAGTGGCAAGCTTCTCTTCTCTATGGCATATTATGTTTCTCTGTTCTTTTTCTTCAGGTATATATCTCTCAGTGAACAAGGTTGTAGTGCTTATATACACCTGAAGTTACTATGTTATAAAGTTGACATGTTGATTTTTTCAGGTTTGAAATGTCTTTCATCTTTGTCTCTCTCTTTGTGCTTAAAAATAACCCACTAATTTTTTAATTACTAGCCCCTTATAATTCCCTTAGATTAGAATTTTTATAGATACTCTGTCTCTATCTTCCCCTTGAATAGGAATAATAAAAATGGCTAACAAAAGTAACAAACGATTTTGGTATGGACATACTAAGGTCTCTTTATTTAATTTGTACATTTATACAGGTCAGCCATTCTATTTCAGTACTTTACTTACACAAATCTGTTGTCATTGTTTAGCTATACAAAGGATTGTGAAAACTATTTTAGATTTTACAAACATGAATAGGCCTTTCTTCTTGAGCTCAGTTTAGTCATAATTCATAAATATTTAAGTAGTTTAGAAAGAGACAATATGAATAATATTTTTAAAACTACATTAAAGAACTGATGGAAAATTGTACATATCATTACTAAACTATGAGTTCCATGAGAAATAGGGAAGAATAGTGTTTATAGCATATTCTCAACTGATACTTTTGAGAAAATATTTATGTTGATAAATTTTAAGCACTACTATTTATACAGCATTCTGAACACCATACAATATAACAAATATTTAAAAAATCATCTTTATTTTAGAAAGCTTACAACCTATTTAAGAATTCCATTTTATTATCATTAATAATAGTGATGCTTCTACTTATTAATGCTTATGATGTGTCAGAATTGTGTTCAACACTTTCCATATATCATCTCACTTGGTTATCACAATATTATACAAATGAAGAAGTTGAGGATTATTTGTAAGTAAGTGGCAGCTCTAGGATGTGAACCTGAGCCTTCCAGTATCAAAGCGGGCCTGAATTTTCTATTATTACTGCAATAAAGTATATACTGCTGATACTACTACTTACATTGTCTGTAGGATTGATGTTTGTCTCTTTTATTATTTATCTTTGTAAATTTTTAAATTTACAAAGATTTTAGATTATATACTTCTTGAATGATAAAACCATTTTATCATTTTATATTAGCTATGAGCATAGCGGGTGCTTAATTTCATGCTCTTAGTCTTTATGCAGTACTCAGTCATTTTGCCATGCATTTCCTCTGCAAACGCTGAATGTAGATACACACAGTGTGCAAATGTCAGAGCAGGTTAATGAAGCAGTTTGCCTCTGATGGTTTCTATTGATGGTCTATAATACAGCCCTCTGAACATTTCTTGTACCTCCTTGACCTAAGTGAATATTACATCTTTCCAAAGGGCCCTCCTTGCCTACATCTCAAATGGACTCAGTTTATTCTTTCCAACTCCGCATTTATTAGGTCTGGATGTGAGTGATGGCTCAGTGGTAAAGAAACTACCTGCAATGCAGGAGACACAAATTTGATCCCTGGATCAGGAAGATCCTCTGGAGGAGGGAGGGCATGGCAACCTACTCCAGTATTCTTGCCTGGAGAATCCCATGGACAGAGGAACCTGGCAGGCTACAGTCCATGGGGTTGCAAAGAGTTGGACATGACTGAAGCGACTTAGCACACCTATGCAAACATCTTTACTTGTCTGGTAAAAATCTCTGATCCTTTGAGACATGTCATGTGACCATTCTTTCTGCTGTTAATTTCACATCTTCCCTACTATCCCTATATCCTGCCCTCCATGCTGCTCCTTCCCCTGCTCTAGTTTTCAGCAAAGGACCCTGCTTTAAGATATTAGGTGTCAGGGAGAAGGGAAACAAGAGGGGCAGAGAGATGTAATGGGGAAAGAAAAACAAACCCTTGGTGCTCCTCTGTTCCTCCTATCTACTCGGCATCTCCTTTATGTTTTTTATCTAAACTGTAAACCAGTGGGTTGGTCAAATGCTGGTAGACCTCTGTGCCTGCCTGATAAGTTGATAGAGGTCAAGAAGCATTATTCAAGGCTTCTGATTACTATTTACACACTTTTTGTTGTTGTTGTTCAGTCACCCAGTCATGCCGGACTCTTTGTGACCCCATGCATGCCAGGCCTCCCTGTCCCTCACCATCTCCTGGAGTTTGCCCAAGTTCATTGCCTCGGTGATGCCATCCAGCTATCTCACCCTCTGACACCCTCTCCTCCTTCTGCCCTCAATGTTTCCCAGCATCAGGGACTTTTCCATTGAGTTGTCTGCTTGCATCAGGTCACCAAAATACCAGAGCTTCAGCTTCAGCATCAGTCCTTCCAGTGAATATTCAGGGTTGATCTCCCTTAAGATTGACTGGTTTGAGCTCCTTGCTATCCGGGGGACTTTCAGGAGTCTTTTCCAGCACCACAGTTCAAAGGCATCAATTCTTTGGTGTTCTGCCTTCTTTACGGCCTAGCTCTCACAACTGTACATGATCAGTAGAAAGACCATAGTCTCGACTATATAGACCTTTGTTGGCAGAGTAATGTCTCTGCTTTTCAACACTGTCTAGGTTTGTCATCGCTTTCTTGCCAAGAAGCAATCATCTTCTGATTTCATGGCTGCAGTCACCATTTGCAGTGATTTTGGAGTCCAAGAAGAGGAAATCTGTCACTACTTCCACCCCCTTCCATTTGCCTTGCAGTAATGGGGCCGGATGCTATTATCTTAGTTTTTTTTTTTTTAATATTTAGTCTTAAGCCGGCCCTTTCACTCTCCTCATCAAGAGGCTCTTTAGTTCCTCTTCACTTTCTGCCATTAGAGGGGTATCATCCATATATCTGAGGTTGTTGATGTTTCTCCCGCCTATCTTGATTCCGGCTTGTAACTCATCCCCCAGCATTTCTCTTGATGTGCTCAGCATATAGGTTAAACAAACAGGGTGATGGCAGACAGCCCTGTCATACTCCTTTCTTGATCTTGAACCCATCAGTTGCTCCGTACAGGGTTCTAACTGTTGCTTCTTGACCCACATACAGGTTTCTCAGGAGACAGATAAGATGGTCTGGTATTCCCTTCTCTCTAAGAGATTTCCACAGTTTGTCATGATCCACACAGTCAAAGGCTT